GTTTTTGGGATTTACAAACACTTTGAACTTAGCTTTGAACGACCCATTTTCAGCTTAACCTATCAGGGTTTGAGTCGGTGGTGGAAAAAATGCGGTACCGAACGGAGTTTACGTTTGTATGACAGACAAAATTATTATCAAAAATAAGTTGATGTCACGTCAAAGTCATACAATAAAAAAATCTTTCCTTAAACTTATTTGAGAAACCATCTCTTACTTTAAACAGTTTTAATATTATACGGGGTGTTAGGGACGGTGTAACGAAAACTTTGCAGGCATGCTCAGACCGTGAAACTGAACAACTTTTACTATGGAGCCAATGGTGGGAAACGAAAAGAATTTTGCGACCTCCCATACAAATTCAGTCAGCTGATCGTGAATTTTGTATGGGAGGTCGGAAATTTCTTCTCGTTTCCCACCATTGGCTCCATAGTAAAAGTTGTTCAGTTTGATGGTCTGATCATGCCTGCAAAGTTTTCGGTACACCGTCCCTAACACCCTGTATCTTGCATCAACGATCTTGCATATTATGTAAGTAACTACAATTTCTACTTGAGAAGGCACAACGAACTTAAAGAAGCTTGCTTTCAAAATTTGAATTTCAAACATAGTTTTTCTAAAAAATCCTTGTTTAAAACCTAGCAGAATAGGTAATGGGTAAAAACTATCCGAGAACAGTTGGACAGAGTGATAAATCTCCGGGATTGATTCCCGGGCGCTAGTGTCTGCAGGTCAACGAGGTAGTTAGCTGAGAAAGAGATAAGCTACGTATCTTTTTCACTTATTTTAAAAAAGAGAAGAAAGTCTATTTTTTTAATATCAACACACACAACAGTCCACTGCTAGGTATGCGTCTTTGGAGAGTTGCACTCATTACGCTTGGCAGGCACAGGCACAGTGCAATTTGTTTTAGATATTCACAGGGAACGCTGCTGCCCATTCCTTGGTCTTATTTCTTAGTCGCCGTTTACGGCGCTGAATAATATGGGAAGTAAAAAAAGATGATGAAGAGTTTAAAGTAGAGTGCGTTCGAAACTTAGTAGAATAGGTATTGGGTAAAAACTATCCGGGAACAGTTGGACAGAGTGATAAATCTCCGGGATTGATTCCCGGGTGCTAGTGTCTGCAGGTCAACGAGGTAGTTAGCTGAGAAAGAGATAAGCTTACCGTTAGTATGTTTTTAGCCAACATTTAACAACTCAACATTGATTTAGTAATTTTACATACAAACATAAAATGTATGTAAATGTATATCCCTTGCGCTTGCGGGATCAGCAGTGCGTATCGGCCATTTACACCAAGTCAGACAAAAGCTTGAGATTCATTCAGAACATATTATTCAGAAGACTGTGTTGTGTGTCAATCACTATAGCGACGGATTGTCGGCCGGTCGTCTAAAATCGCAATACAGATTAATTATCAAACGCCTTAGTTGATTCTTAAGACAATATGAACTGAAAAGACATGGGGTGATGCTATTCTAAGCCGGCACCCCGCGGCAAACAGTTGGACAGAGTGATAAATCTCCGGGATTGATTCCCGGGTGCTAGTGTCTGCAGGTCAATGAGGTAGTTAGCTGAGAAAGAGATAAGCTACGTATCTTTTTAACCTATTTAAAAAAGAGGAGAAAGTATTTTTTTATATACCTATTAACAGACACAACAGTCCACTGCTAAACATGGGTCTTTGGGGCACCGCGCATGGCAGGCGGATTGGCTAGCATAGTGCAAGTTATTGTAAATATTCACAGGGAACGTTGCTGCCAATTCCCTGGACTTATTTCTTAGACGCCTTTCACGATACCGTACAACTACGCTAGTACTCTTGATTATACTGTGGTACAACTTAACTATGGTAAGTAAATATTGTAGATATTCGCAAGGAACGCTGCTGTCCATCCCCTGGACTTATTTCTTAGTCGCCCTTTACGGCACAAAATAATTTGATTATGGTCGATTGGGCAGTCAAAACAATAATGTACAGTTTAAAGTAGAGTCCATTCGAAACTTAGCAGAATAGGTATTGGGTAAAAACTATCCGAGAACAGTTGGACAGAGTGATAAATCTCCGGGATTGATTCCCGGGTGCTAGTGTCTGCAGGTCAACGAGGTAGTTAGCTGAGAAAGAAAGAGATAATAACTACGTATCTTTTTCACCGATTTAAAAAAAGAGGAGATAGTTTTTTTTTTCTATATTAACAGACACAACAGTCCAATGCTAAGCATGGGTCTTTGGGGTGTTGCCATACTCACCACGCTTGGCAAGCGGATTGGCGAGCGGAGTGCAAGGTGTTGGAGATATTCAAAGGGAACGCTACTATTATTTTACGGCACCAAATAACTTGGCTATGGAAAGTAAAAAAAGCTAATGTAGAATTTAAAGTAGAATGCGTTCAAAACGTAGCAGAATAGGTATTGGGTAAAAACTATCCGAGAACAGTTGGACAGAGTGATAAATCTCCGGGATTGATACCCGGGCGGTAGTGTCTGCAGGTCAACGAGGTAGTTAGCTGAGAAAGAGATAAACTACGTATCTTTTTCACCAACTTCAAAAAAAGAGGAGAAAGTCTTCTTTTTATATATCAACAGACACAACAGTCCACTGCTAGGTCTGAGTCTTTGGCGTGTTGCTATACTCTCCACATTTAGCAGGCGGATTGGCGAGCGGAGTGCAAGGTGTTGGAGATATTCAGAGGGAAAGCTACTATTACTTTACGGTATCAAATAACTTGGCTATGTAAAGTAAAAAAAGCTAATGTAGAATTTAAAGCAGAGTGCGTTCGAAACTTAGCAGAATAGGTAATGGGTAAAAACTATCCGAGAACAGTTGGACAGAGTGATAAATCTCCGGGATTGATACCCGGGCGCTAGTGTCTGCAGGTCAACGAGGTAGTTAGCTGAGAAAGAGATAAGCTACGTATCTTTTTCACCGATTTTAAAAAGAGAAGAAACTCTATTTTTTTTATATTAACAGACACAACAGTCCAGAAAGAACTGATAGAGTAAGAGACAAATATAGATGCCGAAACTGCTCAGGACAGAGAAAAATTGAAAAGACAGACAAGAAGAGCCGACCCCAGATGATGGGATAAGGCTAAGGAGAAGAAGATTAACAGACACAACAGCCCACTGTTAGTCAAGGGTCTTTGGGGTGTTGCTATACTCTCCACGCTTGGCAGCAGGAATGGCTAGCACAGTGGAAGTTGTTGTAAATATTCATAGGTATCGCCGGTCTACATTTCCTGGACTTATTTCTTAGTCGCTCTTTACGACACCGTATAACTTGACATTGGGAAGTAAAACACTGATTTATAGTTTAAAAGAGTGCGTTCGAAACTTAGCAGAATAGGTATTGGGTAAAAACTATCCGAGAACAGTTGGACAGAGTGATAAATCTCCGGGATTGATTCCCGGGCGCTACTGTCTGCAGGTCAACGAGGTAGTTAGCTGAGAAAGAGATAAACTTTTAACCCTAGGTACTACGTACTAATGTTGAGCTGTTGAAGCGAACTACGAGTTCAACAACCTGTTTTTTTTTTCAAGGTTTGACTTTTTACCGGTGAAACTTAGCCCACAAAGTAAGTATTAGCAATTGCCAATCCAGAGAACCGGCTTCAAGGAAACGTCTATATACCTACTCACACATACATCCAAACGCCTTCGTTTATCTCGAACCGGCTAGCAGCGAGTGTCAACAGCGTTCGGTGCGGGCGGACGGCAAAATTACGACTCGCATGTGCCAATATTTTTGTATAGTATGTTATAGTGTACGTTTGATATAATGTAAGTACGTACCTAAACTACTTAAATATGCTTGACCTAGATTGACGTTCATTTACATTTTCTAGGTACGGCATATTAAAAATTCAGAATAAGAAACTAGCAACCCGTTAGTTAGTGTAGGCATAAATGACGGAAGAAGGGGCGAGCTATCCTTCTGTAAATTCTTTGCTTAGACAGACCTATTTTTTTTGCTTTGTTGTTGCGCTTATATAAAAACTTACATAAGTGTGTAGTGTATGTAGGTACCTAAATAACTCACGATTACAAACGACAATAACAAACCATAACAGTTTTCTCAGTGTATAAGTCGGGAATCACACGTGAATCCTGTAACTGCGCTTTACTATCGCATGCTATAAGAAAATAAGAATCATCCACTTACATACAAATACGGTATCGCATGCGTCACTCTACACCAACGGTTGCGAGTCTCAAACGGTTTAATTTTGTACCTAAGGTGGAAACTCGCATTTTCCTAACTAGGTAAGTCGTTACAGTTGCGATAAAAATCGCAGCAATGCACGTAAATTTTTCAAATCAGGACTTACAAGGAGTATTTCGTCGTTATCATTATTTTCGTTTTATATTCTTGATTTATGTAATTGACATTCTAAAAAGAATTCTTTGTGAATCAACTTAGAAATAAAAGTTTTGAATCTTTGAGCCATCAAATGTGATGCCCGCCTAAGTCGGCCGCTACAGTATGCGGCACTAAAAGTGAACCACTCAGCATTATTGCGCTCGTAAATATCCGGCTATGACTTGGATTGCATGTTGCATCGAAGCTGAGTGTGCTAGTGTATTAGTAACTAACATATGCTTATTATTATGATGTATACTTGTCTTTTTTATGCGCATTTTTAAAATTTTCGTATTTATATGACGTGTCGTGCCGGCTTAGAATAACATCACTCCATTATAAGATATTTTGGTTAGAAACGACTATTTGAGAGTTGATGTTTATTGCAATTTTAGGCAACAGGTTGACAACCTGCCACTATGGTGGGTGATACACAGTCTTCGGAATGATTCTCAAACTATTGTATTAGAATTTTTAATGCACTCACAGCGCTATATTATTCTCATAAATTAAAAAATTGAAAAATTCACTAGCGACTGTCGGAACTGGTCAGTTTGTAAAAACTACTACTAGATGTCGCTTAATCGTCGCTTCGAGACGAGCATCAAGAGGTTGAAAAGTTCACCAGGGTCCGCTAGGCGCCCGTAGCTCAGTCGGTAGAGCGGTGGAACGGTGATCCACAGTCCCGGGTTTAAATCCCGACGGACGCTAGTGAATTTTTCAATTTTCTCATTATTTAATTTATCTCAAACTATTGTCAAATGTGCCGTAAATGGCGGTCTTTACAGCCGTTTACGCTCTGCTTACCCTGCAAGGGATATAGACGTGATTAATGTAGGTAGGCTATTTATTTTAATTTGTTTTTATTGTCGCCCGGCTGCTGACGTAACATTTTTTTTTAACTATCTACGAAATTGTTTAAATAGAGTTTGGTACGTAAAATCCACAAGTGACATCGTAAAAGTCACAAGTCTTATTTTATTTAAAAGTGTAGGTGGGTAAATTTTTGACTCACTGAAGTACTTTGATGTCTCACTGAAGTACTTTGTGGTCCTAGAGACAACACCAATAAAATCGCCCCAATAGCTGACTTAGCATTTCCATCAGAATGTCTATTGAATGGATCGACTCGGAAACTATCGCATTATGATATTTTTAGGGTACCGTGCCCGAAGGGTCGAAACTCGAAACATTTGGACCTCCCATACAAAAATGTTGAAAAAGTGTGTCGCTTAGTATAGGAGGTCCAAATTGTAGACCACACCCCCTATTAATAATACTTCGCTGTCTGACTGTTTTTCTGTCCGTCTGTAACCAGACTGTATCTCATGAACCGTAATAGGTAGACATCGCAGATGTCGTATTTCAGTTGCCGCTGCAACAACAAATAGGTACTGAAAACAAACGTGTTTTTGTGTCTATTCTATTCTATTTCAGCCTATTGCAGTCCACTGCTGGACGTAGGCCTCCCCCAGGGAACGCCATAAGGCACGATGTCCCGTTTTTGCCATCCAGTCGCTACCAGCCGCCTTTTTAAAGTCATCGGTCCATCTGGCCGGAGGGCGCCCAACGCTACGCTTTCCGAGGCGTGGCCTCAAAATCAAAATCAAGCCAGCCCACTGCCACTTCAGCTTGCTACACTTCCAGATTATGTCCGTCACTTTGGTCTTTTTTCGGATGGCCTCATTCCGGACTTTATCCATTATAGAGATACCAAGCATAGACCTTTCCATAGCTCTCTGAGTGACATGTAGCCGGTGGGCCAGTTTTACTGTCAAGTTCCACGTCTCGGCTCCGTAGGTCATGACTGGTAGGACGCATTGATCGAACACCTCGAGGCATTGTGGCAAAGATGATTCGAGGATGTAACGCAGCTTTCCAAATGCTACCCAGCCAAGCTGCACTCTTCTGGTGATTTCAGCCTCAAAGTTGTCTCTTCCCATCTGCAAACTTTGCCCAAGGTACACGTATTTCTGGACAACTTCAAGGACTACACCTTCGACGGAGACCGGCTCGGGGATTATGTGTTGATTGAACATGACCTTCGTCTTATCCAAGTTCATCCCAAGTTCAATACGTCTCGAGGCAGAGTTAAGACTAGATAGCATTTTTTGCAGGTCCTGCAGCGAGTCGGCCATTATGACTATGTCGTCGGCAAAGCGGAGATGCGTGAGACTTTCGCCGTTGACGTTGATGCCCAGTCCATCCTACTGTAGAGTTTTGAAGACATCCTCCAATGCGTTAGTGAAGAGTTTCGGGGATATAACGTCACCCTGTCTTACACCACGGAGCAGTTGGATGGGTCTTGTATTATGGTTTTGTACTTGAACGGACATCGTAGCCATTTGATAAAGGCTTCTCAGCACCTCCACATACCGCCAGTCGATTTGACAGCGCTGCAAGGACTCCAAAACAGCCCAGGTTTCGATAGAGTCGAAGGCTTTTTCGTAGTCCACAAAAGCCATACAGAGTGGTTGGTTGTACTCCTCTGTCTTCTGTATAACCTGCCTTACAGTATGGAGGTGGTCTACGGTACCTACTGAAGCCCTTACGAAACCCGGCCTGTTCCGGTGGTTTTTGTGTCATTTTATACATTATGGTCCGGAACTCTTCGTGTGCGAGTCCAACTCCGTACCGCCGTTTGTTTCGATCAGTCACAAACTATTTGTATTATTATGATATTTTTTTCGATCATCCGCCGATGGCTTATCCGTGTCGTGTCTAATTCCATGGAAAATTGAATCGGATCTCTCTTTTGTGTTTGTGAATAAATAGAATATCGATACCTAAATATAACTATTGCGAATATCTGTATACCCATTTCATTGAAATTTTTAATGCACTTACAGTGCTATACCTATTATTCTCATACTCAAATGGAAAAATAAAATGAGATCGTCGCTTCGAGACAAGCATAACGAGATTGAAAAATTGGCACGGGTCAACTGGTGAGTCAATAGCTCACTGGCAAAACAGTGGGATGGTACCGCACCGGGCCCGGGTTTGAATCCCGGGCGACGCTAGACATTTTTTTAATTTCTTATTTTCATTTATCTAAATGCCTGTTTTAAACTTTATAACCTCGACTGCAATCGTCGTCGCAGACTACCATATAGTACATATAAGCAACACGTAAACTGATCTGTAAAGAAATTACAGATTTAGACAACTACTTGGTAAAATATTAAAATCATTATCATTATCTATCTATACATCTATATGTCGCAGTACGATGGCAGAATCAGGTTTTTGGCCAAAAACTTAGGTTTTTGGCCAAAAGCCGGCATATGGCAGAATCGTAGACTTCTTTCGGCCATCGTCCTAAGCTGATCCAGGTTTTTGCCGAACTAGGATTTTGGCCGAAATCCTAGATTTGTTTAGTATTATGGCTTTTTTTTGCATTTCGGGGGAACTTCTTCTTCTTCTAGTGGTACACCAAGTCACCCAACGACCCGATGAACCCTGGTGTTAGAGTTTTTAAACCGCCAACTGCAAGGAGCAGGCCTCTGACAAGGTTGTGTAACGACTTCCGTCTAAGTGATCATAAAGAGCAATCGGGACCGACGGCTTAACGTGCCCGTGTAGTTCAGGCATACACCTCGAAAGGCAGGAGGTAGCATTGGACGTTCTGGAAGGTGGGAGGTAGCGTCAGACGCTCTGGAGGGCGTGGATAGCGTCGGACACTCTGGAGAATGTAAGATGACGGGCGTTGGATTTTCTGTGGGTCCGACGCTACCTCCTGGTCTCCAGGGCGTCCAACGCTACCACCAATCCTCTAGAGCATTCAGTGGTACGTCCTGCTCTTATGGTGTCTGATGCCCCCCCCCTGCCCTTCAGGGAATCCGAGGCAATCCTGCTGCTCAGACTGTCTCATGTTACCCTCCGTCCTTCAGGGTGTCCATTTACGGTGTCCAAGTCTACCCTCAAAAGATCAAAAGGAGGTGCATAAAGTCCACTCCTCGTTCCCCCGAACCACATGGGCACGGTAAGCCGTCGGTCCCGATTGCTCTCTATGATCACTTAGACGGCGGTAGTTACACAACCATGTTACAGGCCTGCCACTTGCAGTAGGTGGTTGAAAACTCTGATACCAGGGTCCATCGGCTCGTTGGGCAACTTGGTGTACCACTCAAAGACGAAAGATCCCCCGAAATGCAAAAAAAAGCCATAATACTAAACAAATCTAGGATTTCGGCCAAAATCCTAGTTTTTTGGCCAAAACCCTAGGTTTTTGGCCAAAAACCTGGATCAGCTTAGGACGATGGCCGAAGGAAGTCTACCATTCTGCCATATGCCGGCTTTTGGCCAAAAACCTAGGTTTTTGGCCAAAAACCTAATTCTGCCATCGTACTGCGACATATACATCTAATAAGATCGTAACTGGTCGGGGTACAGGAATCATTTATAGATTTCAAAAAACACTTCTATACCGCGTTTTAGAAAACCGTCAATTTTAGCAAAAGCGACATCTATTTTTTTTATTTTTTACCCCAAATCGTTTGTTCGCGATAATCTTCGAAAATATAGAACGTGTGTACATGAGACTCTTTGTGGTGTATAGCTACTAGCCCTGGTCAACACCTAGGATACTTTTTACCGCGGGAAAAACGCTTATTCCTAAGTGAAATACGATTAAAATATACTGTGATCATCAGTTGTCGATCGTCCATTGGCTGTCAAAAAGTACAAACCTCTTCTTGAAACCTCAATTTTATATTGTTTTTGTTTGATTTTGACAAATCGACATTGACATCACTTTTTGACATTCATTGCTTACAAACAAGCTCAAAGAGGATGTAAATAAGTAAATAATAAAAATATTACTAACTTACTAACGCAAAATAAAAAAGATAAGTACTAAAACTGAGGACCACGCCGAAAGTATGATGAGAAATTGTGAAACAACTTATTTCTTCACCCGTACGCCGTAGTACTTTCGTGCCGCAACAAAGAGGTCGCGTCGAGACTTGGTCAAGAACTCCGATATTCCTGTGTTCTTGAGTGCCGTCTTCGAATCCTAGACTTCCCTCCGTTTGTCAAGGTCACGGAACCTAACGAGTAATAGACCTAGCCTGTGGCAGGCTTGCAGGTCGGAACTGGTAATGTCGGACAGCAGCGTTTTGTCACCTATTACTTTTGAAATGACCTCAGCTAACCTTTCATCCTTGGTTTCAGCGACCACATGGAACAGGAGGACCTTTCTTCTCAGGAAAGCTTTATGATGCTCCAGTCCAAGAGACAGCAAGTTTGTCTGATTTTAGTGAGCGCTTGCCAGTCTAAGTTTTTAAAATCAGCATACTCACCCGCCAGGGTCTTCAGATCTATGTGGACCGGAACAGGAGAAGCGGTGGCATTCTTGAGACGGATCTCTTGCGGCTAAACAGTTGATCGAGGTCTGCTTTGTTGGTTGTGAGGTCAACTCCAAATATAGTAAAAAGTGGTTGCAGTGATGAAATTCTTAATTGTGGATAGTGATGATAAGCCACTTAATTACTTCATGCATTAATAATGTAAATATAAACGCAGTAAGTAGGTATTATTTATTAATTAAAATATGCAGAGCTAAATTAGTTAGTATTATTGTCACGACTATCTACCTGTGTAGTTCTTTAATCTGTAATTCATATTTCGCAAAGTGTTAGTAAGTAGGTAGGTACTAAAGATATTTTTCCTTATTTAACTATTTAAGCATTACTTTTTGTTAGTAAAT